ATGCAATACTCACATCTGAATATTGCAGTACTCAGTAGTACTGTACTATTCAATAGTAGTCAGATACTCACATCTGACTCAGAATACTCACACCTGACTCACAATACTCATATCTGATTCACAATACTCACATCTCGCCCGCAACACTTTCTTATGTTTCGAAGCTCAATATCGTAAGCCAATATCGCTTAATCAACGTTAGTTCGACGTTTAACTAACGTTTTCAGCGTTTAACTAACGTTTTCAGCGTTTAACTAACGTTTTCAGCGTTGAACTAACGTTTTCAGCGTTTAATCAACGTTACTCCTGGCTATCGGGCCCGTTGGTAAACGGATCTCCTCGGACCCGTCAACAGAATCTGGCGATCGACAAGATCAATATTTCTAACAAAATATTATTTAATATATATATATATATATATATATTATATATATATATATATATATATATATATATATATATATATATATATATATATATAGGAAGAAGTAAATAGGATGTTAAGGTAATTATCAGTAGAAAGGACTAAGTCATTACGACTATATAACACTTGGAAGGGATATTTTAGTATTTTAATTGGGGGCGAAGGTGCAAAAAAACAAAAAGGCACCACTCGAAGCCCAACCACTTGTGGACAGTCGGGGGATTGAACGCCGACCCGCAGCAAGAAGCGAAACCGTCGCTCTACCGGCCTAGCCCAAGTGCTTAGACACGGGTTACATCAATGTGATGTAACCGACTGGTAATTAGACACTGTCTTCGTTATAACGAACATCTTTTCTCAGAATTTTCTCTACTCGCTGGCTCTAAATTCCAGCGATATTAAGTCTGGTCAGCACTGATTCGGAAACTCTCGTTATACAGACCGATTTGACGTTAATTATTTGCGAATGTGGTATTTGGTCCGTTGTGTTGAAGTACAGGAAGTGTTACTTTACATTAAGCAAAATGTAATTAATTACGTTTTAAAATGTACAAATCCACAAGGGCCGTGACGAGGATTCGAACCTGCGTCCGGGAGCATCCCAGACACTGCCTTAATCGAAAAAATGTTTTAAAATGTATACGCAATGTATATTATCATATACATTTTCTATACATTTTCAATATATAAAATGTATTATGTAAAAAAAATACGTAATTAATTACTTCTATACAATTGACAGTGTCAATATTTTTTTTAATAAGGCGTAAGACAGCAACGGATTAATGGCAACGGATTAACGGCAACGGATTAACGGCAACGGATTAACTCTGAATATCTGCGTCAAATACCTCCTGTTAACGGGACCAGGATCTTAAGGATATAATCTTCGCGCAGTGATAAACTACTTCATTAAAAGGTGAATATTTGCGAAGAAAAAGAGTTGATCATGTCTCTTAAGGTCAAATTCTTGAAAGGAAATTGATCGGCTAAATAAAGGTGGAATACCTGAGGCTTAATGAACGCGGAAGTTCAGACATACCTGGCACTACGAGTAGCTACCTGGTGTGTCACACACCTGGTGTGTCACACACACCTGGTGTGTCACACACCTGGTGTGTCACACACCTGGTGTGTCACACACACCTGGTGTGTCACACACACCTGGTGTGTCACACACACCTGGTGTGTCACACACACCTGGTCTTATTAAAAGGTGTCCTGGCTGATTTATGTATACCGGTGTTGGTAGTCTATAGAGGACCGAGTATACACAGGTGTCGCCTGTCTATAGGACTGAGTATACACCGATATCGGTAGCCTATATAGGACCGACTATACACCGATATCGGTAGCCTATATAGGACCGAGTATACACCGGTATCGGTAGTCCATATAGGACCAAGTATACACCGATATTGGTAGCCTATATAGGACCGACTATACACCGATATCGGTAGCCTATATAGGACCGAGTATACACCGATATTGGTAGCCTATATAGGACCGACTATACACCGATATCGGTAGCCTATATAGGACCGAGTATACACCGGTGTCGGTAGCCTATATAGGACCATGTCCGGAGACCAGCGTCAATCGTCCTTTAATTCTAAAGGACCATTTTTTAAGTGTCGAAATTCAACACGATGTTTCGAGCAACACAAAAATATACTCAAATACGGACAAACGTCAAACAATCTAGACGTAAACAAGGAGAATTAGAAGTAAAACAAAAAAAAATAATAATAATTACAGGATTAGAATTCAAATAATAATAATAATTACAGTACAAGCTGACTGTTATTTCCCTTTAGTGATTAGCGATCATCGAGTCATTCCGGATAATCTGATGATTCTCTCACTTAACCCAATCATCATTTTTCACGTCAAACACTCATCTCTCACCCCCCAAACGGACCATTAAACGGGGTATTATCAATCACAGCGGCTCAGTCCCGTTTTCTAGGATCTAGGTTAAGTTAGGTTAGGTTAGGTGGGTAATATGGGGTCCGAAGCGTTATTTAGTACCCCGTGTTTTGAACGTTGTAGCAAGAGAGAATGGGTTCGAATGTTTATATTGTGCTTCTTATGAGAATGCTTCACTTTTCACTCGACTGGAATTTAAGAAATGACCACTTCAGTAGGCCTAATGGCCAATGTAGGCCTAATGGCCTATGTAGGCCTAATGGCCTATGTAGGCCTGCTGTTGCATGCAACCAACTGTTTTTTAGTCCTGTGATTGTCATTCATTCACATCAAGGCCTACATAGTGCTACGATTCGTATGCTACGAATTTATTATAATATATTCTGAAATGTATTCAGAATACATCTAATACAATGCTATTTCACGTTGTTCCGCCAGTCCGTCCTCATCTGGATGGGCCAAAACGTGCGAAATACAACGTGCTATCCTAACCAGCAACGTACGAACCCAACCCACCCATCTAACCTAATCTACCGGTGCATAGAAAAAAAAAAATGGATATTTTCGAGTCGCTGCTTCCCGTAGTGCTTTGTAATTTGTACGTTGAGGAGGGGGGCCATAGCGTACAAAATATGACGTGTTAGTCGAGACGACGGGGTTAGGGCGCGAGAACGGGCTGGTCTACGAGCGAGAACGGGCTGGTCTACGAGCGAGAACGGGCTGGTCTACGAGCGAGAACGGGCTGGTCTACGAGCGAGAACGGGCTGGTCTACGAGCGAGAACGGGCTGGTCTACGAGCGAGAACGGGCAGGTCTCCGAGCGAGAACGGGCAGGTCTCCGAGCGAGAACGGGCTGGTTTCCGAGCGAGAACGGGCAGGTCTCCGAGCGAGAACGGGCAGGTCTCCGAGCGAGAACGGGCTGGTTTCCGAGCGAGAACGGGCTGGTTTCCGAGCGAGAACGATCTGATCTCCGAGCGAGAACGGACTGATCTCCAAGCGAGAACGGGTTGCGTGGTCTCCGAGCGACCGTGGCTCTCAACTCCATACCCTGCTTCAGGAAGTTATCGCTCGCATTCCGTGACATTGAAATAATCCTGTGGGCGGGAATTCACTCCGGTGATGAGCCCCCTCTCGTCCAAGGTACTCAGGGAACATACTTCATTATACCATATCCTGCTGAGGCTCATGAAGCGTATGCTAAGATATACTTCGCTCTACGTATAACACAAGAAAAGCCTGTGGGTGTGTATATATATTTCGAATTTCATATTTGGAAATATATCAAACTGATTTGGCTTTCATGTAAGTCAGTCCTTGCTTACAAAGCCTAGTAGAGCGTGTTTCGCTGTTTTGTGAGAGAGAGAGAGAGAGAGAGAGAGAGAGAGAGAGAGAGAGAGAGAGAGAGAGAGAGAGAGAGAGAGAGAGAGAGAGAGAGAGAGAGAGAGAGAGAGAGAGAGAGAGAGAGAGAGAGAGAGAGAGAGAGACGAGAGAGAGGAGAGAGAGAGAGAGAGAGAGAGAGAGAGGAGAGAGAGAGAGAGAGAGAGAGAGAGAGAGAGAGAGAGAGAGAGAGAGAGAGAGAGAGAGAGAGAGAGAGAGAATCTGCATATCCACATACCTGCAACTTTACTGTCTCCTAGCCTCCTTGTCACCCAGCAACAGTGTCTCCTAGCCTCCTTGTCACCCAGCCACAGTGTCTCCTAGCCTCCTTGTCACCCAGCAACAGTGTCTCCTAGCCTCCTTGTCACCCAGCAACAGTGTCTCCTAGCCTCCTTGTCACCCAGCAACAGTGTCTCCTAGCCTCCTTGTCACCCAGCAACAGTGACTCCTAGCCTCCTTGTCACCCAGCAACAGTGACTCCTAGCCTCCTTGTCACCCAGCAACAGTGACTCCTAGCCTCCTTGTCACCCAGCAACAGTGTCTCCTAGCCTCCTTGTCACCCAAATACAGTGTCTCCTAGCCTCCTTGTCACCCAGCAACAGTGTTTGCAAACCTCTCAGTCACTCAGCTTTTCCTTAACCTAAGGTCCTAAGGTTTCTCCTAAGATCCCAACGACACTTGAACAACAACCATCAAATTCCACTTCCAATCCCTGTCTGACACTATTCCAGGTCTGCATGTCACGCCAACACATAAAATGAAAAAAACAAAAGCCGGTCTAAGATTACAGATGATTACATCAGTGACTCGAGAACTCAGCTATAAGCTCAGTGGCCGTAAAGTCCCCTTTAATGCAACTTTTCTGTAAGATTCCACTATCGTAAGCCAACGGGGGGAATACTACACATGCAGTTCTCCAGCGCCAAGGGGCAATACTTAAAGATTTAGAGATCCTAATTCCACAGATTCTTCAGCTGCAGGTTGTGTATATAAATCTATATATATATATATATATATATATATATATATATATATATATATATATATATATATATATATATATATATATATATATATATTTTATGTTGGCAGGATTTATTTTTTGTATATCATGCTGAGTTCTTTCTTACACAGGGGATAATATATATATATATATATATATATATATATATATATATATATATATATATATATATATATATATATATATATATATATATATTAGTCAAAGGTGCTAGGAAAATAAATAGATTTTAAATAGGAATATTCACCTGAATACGAGCTTCTGTAAGTCCAATTTTCATTGCCAATTCTTCTCTGTTAAAGAAAAAACAAACAAAAAACTATTAAACACTGAAAAAATCTACATGTATATTAATATATTCATATATATATGCATATTGTGTTAAAACGAGCATCAGGTGGTCTCCAAGAATCGCGTTGCGAAGAAGGGCTACATTTTCACGAATTATGTATACATTTTCACGAATTATGTATTCGAAGAGGGGGACTATTTACTTTGGAGAACACATGAATAAACACGTGAATAAACACATGAATAAACACGTGAATAAAGAGCTTCAGAACAGCGGGTGTTAGGCGTATCGAGACCCACCTGGTGAAGACGTCGGGGTAGTGTGTGCGCGCGAACACCTTCTCCAGCTCCTCCAGCTGGTAGGAGGTGAAGGTGGTGCGGTAGCGGCGCTGCTTCCTCTTGGAGGGACCTCCGGCTTCGCTACCGCCCTCGCCGCCGCCGCCCTCGCCGCCATCGCCCTCGCCACCGCCGCCCACATTGCCGCCCTCCTCCTCCTCCTCCTCACACGCCTCCTCCTCGCCCTTCCCGACTTCGATCTCGGAGTCGGTATCCACAACGTCGACATCGAGGTCCTCTTCGGCGTCTGGGTGTGGGCGGGGCGTGGGCGGGCTGTGGCGGTGGGCGGGCGAGGATTGGGCGGCTCCGTCGCTCTGGCGCTTAAGACACATGTCCAGAGCCACGGAGACGGGTGTGGGCGTGGGACACTCCTCAAGGATGCCCATGGTAGTTGACCTGGAACAACAAGGGGTGTCGTTAGCAACATAGACAGCCTCGTTATGTGTCTGCTGTAAGCGAGACAGCTCGCTATGGCTGCCTCTCTAATGCCTCCTTAAACTTAAACCAGTTCTCTCAAGTAATACATCGCATTTTGACGTCAAAAATCACCCCCCTTCCTCCTCCTCCTCCCACACCCCCAACGGACGAAATATAATGTACTATCAATCATACGCGGCTCCCAAACCATCGTTTTCTATGTGTGTGTGTGCGGGGGTCGCTTGGTTAGGTTATAGGCTTTTGCACGTTTTGATACACTGTTTTCTGACCGTTGTGTCAACTCGAGAGGACAGGTTGATCAAACACTCCAATAGTCATGGCTCAGTGTCGCTCACTGATGCTCTTCTGAACGTTTTGGAACAATTCTGCCCGAAACGCTGCGCGTACTAGTGGCTTTGCAAGACTGTAATTACCATTTTATGTATCCTCACATTCCCAATGTACCTTCTTGTATATGCATAAATAAATAAATAAAT